TGTCTGAAATAATGTTGTAATTCAATTGGTGGGGGTAAATCACCAAAGCTATCAAAATATATAACTTTTTCCTTATTTTTATAAAACGCTACCCAATGGGTTCCATCGCCTGAAGATATATCCAAGTTTAATATACCACATTCAATAGCGTGCGGTTTTTTAGGTAAGTTATCACGTGAAAAGACTCCACGGAAATGATTGATTTTCAACTTTCCAGCATATTTTATAATATCTTGAGACGAAAGTGGTCTGTCAGGTAGCGTGATCATCAGTTTTTTTTTCTTAACCTATTCTTGTTTGATTTCATACCACTACCTTTTTTTCTTTTTGAATTTTGAACCGCATTATACACACTAGCACCTCCAGACATCAAACTACCAAGTGCTGACAATCCTGCAAATATAGGTATTAAGGGAATTACACCTCCTGACTGTCTCGGTGCTAAAATCAGTCTTTTACCACCATTCTTTTTCTTTAAGATTCTTTTTTTCTTCGCTGCTAGTATACCATTTGTTTTTATAACACTTTTCCGTTTACAACCCATACCTATTTTTCTTTTAGCTTTCATTGCGTTTGTTACTGCGTACGCAACTAATTTCTCTTTTCTAGGAGTATCTTTTGCTTTAAATCTTTCCCAAGCACGATTTTCTAACACTTTATCAGCTTTATGTCTATCGTCTAAATTTTTACTCGCTGCATACACAATATCGTGATCACGACAAGCAGCATCCAATGGGTTTATTCCTTTATCACCACGATCTAGTCTCTTTTTTAATTTCGTGCCAGGACCACAATACTGATATCCTGAAACATGGGCTTCGAACGGGAGACTATTTATAAGGGAGTTTACAAATCCTTTACCAGTCTTGTTTGAATTGTACTTACGAGTTGAACACGCCATCTATAACTGGCTATAAATTTAAAAAATCTAGAGTATTTATATGAAAATAATATGAATTTGATTGAACAGAAAGATAAATTAGATGTAATAAATGTAGATGTTCAGATAGTAAAAAAACCATCAAGACACGGTTCGTTATTACCCGATACTATACGTGCTATACTAGTTGGTCCCAGTGGCTCAGGAAAAACAAATATAATGTATAATCTGATCACACATGCAAACGGGTTAAGATTTGAAAATATTTATTTATACTCGAAAACCTCTAATCAGGAAAAATATGTTTTATTGAAAAAAATAATAGATGATATAAAAGGTGCTAATTTTTTCATATTTACAAGCGCTGATAAGGTTATAAAACCAAACTTAACGAAGAAAAATTCTATTATAATTTTTGATGATGTGATATGTGGCCCACAATCTGTAATCAGAGAATACTTTAGCATTGGTAGGCATTCAGGTGCCAGCTCCGTATTTTATTTAGCACAGACATATTCTAAAATATCAAAACAGCTTGTAAGAGATAACGCAAACTTTTTAATAATACTGAAACAAGATGATACAAATTTACGACATATATTCAACGATCATTCGTCTGCAGATATGGATTTCTCAGAATTTCGGAAAATTTCTCATTTATGCTGGAATCATAGCTATTATGGGTTTATGGTTATCGATAAAACTCGAGAAATGAATGAAGGAAGGTATAGATGCGGTTTTCATACATTCATTAAAATAAAATAATTTTATGTGTTTATATAAATATACCGTCACACAGTTATTATCTGCATAGTGTCATCAGTAGTCATACGATACAGGTATATTGCATTTATTATTTACAATGAACAAAGAAAAAGTCTTGTTGGAAAATTTAATAACGTCAAAAAAAAATATACAACGAAAAATAATGGAAATGAAACGTGGTGTTATAGATTCTGAAAACTATTTCCGTGAAGCATTTAAGCCGATAATTGAACCATTGAGTACACATGTGAAACAAAATGTAATATGTAACACACGGTCAACTGAACTAGAAAATAAATCAGAAACCCCGTACATTAGTGAAGAAGATAATGATGATGAATTAAATTCATCATATGAAAATTTTTTAAATAACCGTCCTAAAGCAACACGTTATGATAAATCTTATGGTATGTATTATGATAAAGATAGTGATTCATATAAAATAGGAAAACATTCTGTTACTTTTAGTCACGGCAAATTAATGTTGCTTAATAAATACTACCAATTTACACCAGGACTATGGTCTTTATTATGTGAGAAGGAACCAAAAAATACAACTATAGCAGATATAGAATCTTATTACAATATTTTGAAAACTAGTGGAGTCCATTTAAAAGCAGATGGAAAACCTAGAACCTCGAGGTACCATAAATGGGTGACTGTTGTAAAACCACTGTATGATCGAATGAAAATGGAGGAAAAACAGTTTAACGAAGAAATAAGTAAAATTAATGAGAATACAACTCCTCGAATTAATTTAAAATCATTTAACAATCATTTATCTAGTTCAAGCGCTAAACGCAGAAAAATAACACAAGAATTTGAACCATTTGATTTTAATCCAGAAGCAAACAGTTCCATGTCTACAAATCCCGTAGTTGAAAAGATGTTTAATTTTACTTCATCACCAAAGACTATGAAAGGTTCTGGTTTATATAAAGATGTCTTACCTCAAACCCAATTAGTTTATTATGACGATCCGAATGAGCTAGTAACTAGATTAAATCTTTTGACATCATCACAAAGTGTTGGTAATACTGGTGTGAATAATGAAATAATATCTATTTTAGAAGAACTACGTGAGAGAAATATTATAGTATAATGACTACCTTAGAGAGTATAGCTAATGAGTTACATCGGCCAGCGAGAAAAATATTTCCTAGACGCAGTGTAGTAACGCGGTTTATTGATGACCTCTGGCAAGCTGATTTAATGGACATGCAATCTCATTCTAGACAAAATTATGGTTTCAAGTATATTTTAGTTGTTATAGATACATATAGTAAGTACGTATGGCTTGAGGCGTTGAAAAATAAAACATCGAAAGAATGTACAAAAGGTATGTTTAATATATTGAAAAAAGCTCATCCGAAATTATTACAGACAGATAATGGTACAGAATTTTACAATGCTCAATTTCAAGATTTAATGAAAAAATACAAAATTAGACATTACAGTTCATACAGTGTTATTAAATGCTCAATTGCGGAACGCGTGATCAGATCTATTAAGAATAATATATATAAACATTTTACTGCTACTGGTACATGGAATTGGTATAATACACTATCAAAAATTACACAAAATTATAATAATACAAAACATAGAACAATCAAATGTACACCGAATGAAGCTCGAATGGATATAAACAATATTACATTTAATAGACAAATAAATAATACATTATATAATCCAAAATTTAAAGTTAATGACAAAGTAAGAATATCTAAGTATAAACATATATTTAGTAAAGGATATACACCAAATTGGACAACTGAAATATTTAAAGTTTCAAAAATTCTACAGACGAATCCAGTAACTTATGAGCTAAAAGATGGATCAGGCAATATAATTTTAGGTGGATTTTATGAACAGGAAATTAAATTAACTGATTTTCCAGACACATTTCTCGTTGATCGTATTATAAAAAAAGTTGGGAATAAAATGTTTGTTAAATGGTTAGGTTTTGATTCATGTCAAAATTCATGGATAACATCATCAGATATATTAAAATAAAAATGTAGTATGTATAATATGTATAATATGTATTACTTTTTAAAATAAAAAAAATATTTAATATATAAATAATATCTTTTTATTTTAGTAAAATTTTTCCCGGGGTCGTCACTGACACTACAAGGGGAAAAGTTGTGGATAAACGATTTTAAATCTCCCTGTAACTAATAAAAACTTGGATAGAAAGACCCCACAAAACTGATTGCTCAAGGGCAAAAGTTGTGGATAAACGATTTTAAATCTCCCTGTAACTGAAAAAACTTGGATAGAAACTACATATACTACCTACTAAGATTCCTTATAAGATTATCTACCTTTATCAATAAAAAAATCTCTACCGGACAGTCAAATTAAATTTTTATGAGCGTTTGAAATTCAAATTTTTACAACATTGGATTTTCACTCGATTTCTCATGTAGCGATTTCCTTATTTTGTTGTAATTCAAAAACGAATAACTGTAGATACATGAAAATTTCACTGAATGTTTATATTAGCATTCCCTATACACCATTCAATTTTGAAAATATTTTGACTCTTTTTGAGCTGTTTACGGACATTTTCAGTTTTCAATTCTTTTAGTTTTTTTTTTTATAATTGTCAATAAAATTTTATTTGGTGGGCCAAAAAGTCTGAAAATTTAATACAAGCTTTCTTATATATTGTTACAATATCAGTTGAAAAATTTTAAAAATACATATACACGATTTTTTTTTATAAGCATTTAAAGTTGGAATTTTGACAAAATTTATCAAAATCTCGAAAATTATCAATCGTTGGAATTAAAAAATTATAAAATGTTCAGTTTTTATAACTAAGAGTTGAAAATTTAAAAAAAAGATTCTCTTAAATAATTCATACTGTAACCAAAAAATCTAAAAAATATATAAACACACTTATTTTTTACAGACATTTTAATTTCAAATTTAGACAAAATTTCATATTCAAACCAAGAATTACGATTTTAGTTATTTTGTTGTGATTGTATAATATTATTCGTGGGTACTTGAAATTTCTTATGTAATCTACTATATATATCTATGATAGTATCAGGGTTTGTTGTTGGTGTATAACGCGTTATAAGTACCTAATGGATATTGTGATATGATTAATTTGGAATTCATTATAGGTCAATTTTTTTTAATATCATAGATATGTATATAATATGTCTCATACCTAGAAGGACATACCGTCTCCGCTCAGAATCGTTTTTCTTATACAATGAAATTATATCATTGAATTCAAATTTAATACCATCCATTATACAATGACCCACTTGTAACCTACTGTACAGCAGAGCGACACCCACTTGCCCACCTTTTTAAATATGTTTTGTATACTATGTATTGCAGTATATCACCAACACAAACATCAAAAAAAAGAAAATTGTCACCAAAGTATCCTAAGCATTTTAATGATTTAACCGTTGAACATTTTTCTACCTCAAATAGAGCTAAGATACATCTAGCATTTGCCAAACAAAAGTACATGGCCGCCAGAAAGAAACTGAAAAAGGTTCAACATCAAAACCGAACATTGGCAGAAAAATTAAAATGTATCAATATTTCAAAACAAAACAAGAGGATTCTGAAGATGCTGGTACAAAATAATTGCCAGTTGACACAAGTAATTCACTTTGTACTTACTGCTTAGTATAAGATCTATGGTCCGATCCATGAATATATTATTATCCATGTTGATAATCGTAAGATGGCTGTCTAGTTTAGTTATATATATTTGTGGGTTTACATGTACCTATATAACTTTAAAGTTTTAGTTATGATTTTAAATTTTACCAACTTCAAATTTTATTTAAAATCAATGTTAAATTAATTATAATTTAAAGTTTAGAGGACGCTACACATGCATGCGTGTCTCCAAACACTTAATATAAAAAACCGTACATTCTGAATAATCCATTTATTATATATTTATTATATATTATTTAACATTTTCAAATGCTCATAACTCGCTTTAAATTTAAAATATAAAAAAAAAAAACCTATGAAATTCACTATATAATATTATTCTTACTTGAAAAATTGATAATAAAACAATTCATTTTGCTTTAACTATACATTTTGCTATGTTATGCATTTGTAAGACGAAGACAACACATGCGGGTATCATGGCTAATATAATAAATGGTCGAAGCATTGTATCATAAAGGGGACGCAGTTTTGAAGACCGTGACATAACATTAGACCTTTGTTATATTACTATAATTATTCATAATAATATATAATATAAATATAAGGTATAATATTAACTTAATATTTTATTAATTTTAAATTAGATTTATCTTAAACCAAATACTGATTATCAAGCAAGATAAAAATTTGTGGTTTATTGTGCGCCATAAATATGTCATGTCACCAACTATTATGGTTAGGAATATAATATAATATAGTATACTATAGTATTATCATTATATACTTTTATTAATTTATGATATAGATGCCAAGCTTGCAAGTGACTATAAAAGAGGACCTCATCATTGCATTTCGTCAAGTTAATGGTCATTTTAGATTCTGAGTGGAACGATGAATGTATTGATTTTACAATGATATGTTTTATCTGTTAGGTCAAAAAGTGTAAAAATTGAATACAAGGCTCCTGATATATTGTTACATTAACATTTGAAAAATATTAAAAATGCATAGTCACATTTTTTTTTATAAGCATTTAAAGATCAAATTTTCGACAAAATTTAATAATTATTTTGTAGTAAAAAATTAATAAAATGTTCAAATTGTTCAAAAGGATTGAAAATTTAAATCAAGATTAAATATAAGTAGTTAAATCTGTTAACAAAATACACAAGCACTGTTTATTTTTATAGTAATTTTAAGTTAAAATTTTTACAAAATTACATATTAAAAAACCTAGAATAACTATTTTAGTTGTGATTGTATAATATTATTATTATTATTATTTGTGGGTACTTGAAACTTCTAAAGTGTACTATTATATTATATCTATGATAGTATCACGGTTTGTTGTTGATGTATAACGCGTTATAAGTACCGAATGGATATTGTGATATGATTAATTTGGAATTTATTATATGTCAATATTTTTTAAAATACCATGGATATCTAATATGTATATAATATGTCTCATACCTAGACTGACATACCGTCTCCGCTCAGAATCGTTTTTCTTATACAATGAAATTATATCATTGAATTCAAATTTAATACCATCTATTATACAGTGACCCACTTGTAACCTACTGTACAGCAGAGCACCTTTTTAATATTAACATTTCATTATTTTTTAACTTGATAATTTTTTTTAATATTTATTTATATAAAATATAATAATAACATGAATGGGGGGAGTGTATTTGTCTATATAAATGAATTTGGTGTTAATATGTTAATGTTTCATTTTGTATAATATTATAATGGACACATTATTATTAATAATATTATATGTTTCTATTTTACAGCTATTCCAACAATGTTGTTCACATATTTCCCCACAAGTGATATCAAGACAACATGAAAATTTAATCATACCAGCTCAATTGATCAGTTGTTCCGGCTTTATTAGGGAAATATTAAATATAAAAATAAATATTTTTAAAGGATAAGAATTTTATTTTTAATTTCATTTAAATAGTTCAAATTTTTATTAACATTTATCTAACTGAAAATAATGCATTTTCTTCACAAACATTTTAAAAGAGATATAAAGAATACAATATTTTTATTTTTATATAATTTTTATTTTTCTGGCTTTTGATGCTGCAAACTCTTGTATTAGTTCTTCCAAGTCTAATTTGTTTAATACGTCCTTTCCAATTGAAAAAGTGCCAGACCAACTAAACAAATTTGACATATTTGGAACCACAAGTAGTTTTTTTTATAATTTTAGATTAAATACCTGCATCTATAACTTGATTAAAAAAATTAACTTTAAAGTACATTTCTGGATCATTTATAGAGTAGTCTTGAGATTTGTAAGCAAAAGTAGTCGCCTTATGTCTCAATCTTTGTAAATTATCAAATGTGTCATCAATTCAAACTTTTTTAGCAACTTCTTTTGCTGATTTTAATTTTTATTTTAGGTTAATGTTTTCATGTTATCTTAGGGAGGAACATATTATCCTAAACTCTAGGACCTGCCCATTGACTTGTCAAAGGTATTATTTTGGAGCAGCAATTGCTCCTTCAAAATTGTTGGTTGGTGAGTGGTCCCCCTGCGCCCTTGCCACTAAATACCTAGCCACCTAGGTGACTATAGGTATATCGTAGAAATATCAAGTGGGTACCTTGCACACATTTTTGCTCCTCACCAAAAATGAGTTCAACAAGCCACTGGGCCTGCCTACTACCAAGGAAATTCCGCCTTTTACATATTGCCCCCCCCCCCCCCCATATTAATATAATTTTGTTACTACTCATACCTACGATGTTTATAATATTAAACTACTTTTATAAATAATTAATTAATTAAGTAATTAATCTTTATTATAATTATATAATTAAATCACAATAATTATTAAATATAGGCTATAGTAATATATTCTCTGTAATTTTATAATTCAAAATACAGCAGTATTCATTCCTTTTCCATTCTGTGTTCTTATCAAATTATTTATTACATATTTTTAGACTCTGAGTTGAACGATGAATGTATTGATTTTACAATGATGTATTTTTTTATTTTTTATTTTTTTTTGTGTCTGTACACGATAAGTAGTCGAAATAATGCTTTGATTTTCAACTTTAGTATCTTGTTCGATTGGAAATTTAATATTGGTGGTGCATTGGGGAGGTCAAAATTCCCAGTAATTTTCAAAAGCGCCAAGAAAAACAAAAGAAAAATTAATTAAAACGGGAAGTTTACGCAAAAATCTAAGATATTAAAATTTAATACAAGATTCCTTATAAGATTATCTACCTTTATCGAAAAAAAATGTCTATGAGAAAGTCAAATTAAATTTTTATGAGCGTTTGAAATTCAAATTTGTACAACATTGGATATTCACTCGATTTCTCATGTAGCGATTTTCTTAGTTTGTTGTAATTCATAAACGAATAACTGTAGATACATTTAAATTTCACCGAATGTTTATTTTATGAATTCTTATAATTGTTATACATTTTCAAAATATTTTGACTTGTTTTGCGCTGTTTACGGACAATTTCATATCTCAATTTTTTATTTTATTATTCTATGAATATCAATAAAGTTTTAGCTGTTAGGCCAAAAACTGTAAAAAATTAACACAAGGTTCCTGATATATTGTTACAGTAGCAGTTGAAAAATATTAAAAATACATAAGCACAATTTTTTTTATAAGCATTTAAAGATTGAATTTTGACAAAATTTATCAAATTTAAAATTGAATAATTATTTTGTAGTTAAAAATGTGTAAAATGTTCAACTTTTATATCTAAGGATTGAAAATTTAAAACAAGATTCCATGTAAGTAGTTAATTCTGTTACCAAAAAATCTAAAAAATACATAGGCACAGTTTATTTTTATAGCCATTTTAAGTTCAAATTTGGACGAAATTACATAATATTGAAAAACCTTTTTTTGTTTTTTTTTATTTTAGAAAATTTAGGTAGGTACAATCTGTATTTATAAATCACAATAAGCAAATGTGATAATATGTACAACAAAACAATATAATATAATAACAGAATGACAGAATAAGGGAGGCCATCCAATGATAGAACCCTTCAGATTTAAATTAAACATAATTTATTGATTTTTTTTTTTATCATAAAAGATCACGACAAAAGCGTCTTTTTAGGCGGCGAAGGGAATTAAAAAACATAGAATAACTTTTTTAGTTATTTTGTTGTGAAGGATGTGACTGTATAATATTATTCGTGGATACTTTAAACTTCTAAAGTATACTACCTACTATATATCTATGATAGTATCACGGTTTGTTATTGATTTATACGCTTTATAAGTAGGTACTTAATGGATATTGTGATATGATTAATTTGGAAGTTATTATAGGTACATTTTTTTTTTAATACCATACGTAAGTATATAATATGGTCTTATACCTAGACTGACATACCGTCTCCGCTTAAAATCGTTTTCTTATACAATGATATTATATCATTGAATTTCAAATTTAAAACCATCCATACAGTTTTTTTTTTTTGTAAACACTTCTCGGCTGTAAAAAGCCTATTATTAAGAACGCAGATTTATTGAGTTCAAATTTAACAAACATACGAAAAGTTTTTTAAAATGTCTTGTTAGGTTTTTGAGAAAATTACCAATGATTTTAACTTTAGGCAAGCTCTTATTTTTAACTATATTGATTGCTTAATGGTCGGAATCTACCTAACTTGTTGCTAATGGACTTATTTTAATTGTATGTTATACAATATGAAATATTGATTATTTATAAATAAGAATAGGTAGGTACTGCAGGTACATAATTCCAAGTTTTTATGTTTTAGAAAATTTAATGGAAATAGCAGTGGTAACAGATAAATACTGTTTGAAGAACCATTAAAGGATTTCTGAAGTTTAAAGTTGAATGAAATTTAGAACAAAATATGATCACACTATAATGTCTATAGTTAATATTTAATAGATATAAATGAAGGCACCAAATACACAATAAAGGCGTATTATTAAGGTGAATGTTGGTAGGTACTGGGATAGG